AGATCATCCTCTAGGCTCGTCAGTTTGGCCACAGCTAGATCCCTCTCCTCGACGGCATCGTCCAGCTTCTTTTTGGCATCATCCACAAGAGACTTAAGCTTGGCCTCTACGTCGTCCATCTCACTCTTACGCTCCTCGACCTTGACTAGATCGAGGAGGTTAGGAAGGGAAAGAATGAGGCTCTGGAAAGATTGCAAAATCAAGAAAGATGAAGTGAAAAAAAAAAACCTTCGGCAAAAACTTACATGGATCTGGAAGGAGTTCTGTTTGCGCTGACGGTCGACCAAAGAAGACCAGGACACTGCGATCCAGTGGGGCTCGAGGAAAGACTCATAAAGAGCCTGAAAGACGAGAGAAAAGCGAGGGGGAAGTTTCAGTATCGCCCCGACCTCAGCGTCAGAAATATCCGAGACCTGAAAGTTCCCGTCCATTATCTTTCCCCCAGGGATCAGCACGTGTTTTCTCGGCGCCGGGGGAGCACTGACATCAGGGATGGGAACCACTGGTGTCTAGGTCTTGTCAATTGACGTCTTGTCAGTCGACGTCTTGCCAGTACGCTTTCTCTTGTGGGTATGCTTGCCCCCCGGTACCGAAGGGTCTTTGACCTTCTTGCTCTTCGGCGCAGGAGAAGAACAGCTGGCCTTTTCTTTTCCCTTCGACGAGGGCTGTTGGCTCGGCGGGGGCTGCGGATCAGACGGTGGCTACTGGCTCGGCCCCGACCGTTGGCTCCCAGGGAGTTGAATTCTCAACGATGCCATCTCTGCAGAAGCAACGAGAAGAAGATATGATCAGCGTTAGGAAAACACGAACCGTAATTTTAGAAGGCGCTGAGAGAAGTAATTACCCTCATCGCTTAAATGGAAGTACGTGCGAGCGGCGTCTAGGTCTGAAGAATTGGGAAGGTCTAGGATTAGGCCGGTAGCACGAAGATTCTCCTTAGTCAGAAGCGTTTCGATATGGCGAACCTCTGACGGATAGGAAAAAGCCTGCTCGACCCTCGCCAAACTATTACCGGAGAACTTCGGCCGGTCCTGGTTAACTGCAGGATAAAGGATTATCAGCGCATGAAGAAAGAGCAAAGTTAGATAAGAAGAAAGTCAAGAGACTTACTCATATTCCCGAACGCCGCCTGCACTTGCCTTCGGCAGGGCAGGCGGTCATTGGGATGAAAGTTGAATGGCCCACGGATCATGAAGAACATGGGCTTCCACCCATGTGATGATGAGGGAATGCCCAGAATAAGCTTCCCAAACCTGGGCTGAGCCCTCCCGTGACCACTCAGAAAGTACCACCCGTCACACTTGGCAACGTGGCACAGCTTGTACATAAATCGGAACTCATCCAATGGGAGTTCCATGTCAAACTTCTAGTGCCATAGAATCCAGGCACCTGCAAAGCAGTACCAGAAGTTTGGCGCCAATTGGGCAGGAGAGATGCCATAAAAATGGCAGTAATCTTTTACAAAGGGATGAACTGGGAGTGTCATCCCCGCGGTAACCGCTCCTGTATAGACTAGAAGATATCCGGTCGGCGGCATGCTAGTTCTAAAATGCACGTCCGGGAGGAGGTACTCGAACCACCTCCCGTCGATGCATCCTTCCTTCACAGCCCTAATAATATCTTTATTTCAGACCCTCGACGCCACACCGTCGGCTGTAAAGGAAGGCCTATCTGGGTCACCGCTCGTGGCAGCAGGGGGGGCATCCACCATCGCGGCAGCTACCCCGCTTACGCTGCCCCCCGTAAAGGGGATCCGCTCAACGATTTCATCTATGAACCATTCGACGCTACCAAATTCGCTCCCAAAGTCGTTGCCTAGTTCGCATCTCTTCTCGATGTCTTCAATATCCCTAAGCACAGAGCTAACGCCGGAGCATGAAAAAGTCCATAAGATCTCCACCACCGAAGGGGGGTCAGAACGGACGACAGAAGAAGAATCCTCTCGACTGGGTGAACTTTGGGCCATTGTTCTGGTAATTAAAAGGACAAGAAGCTAGGTTAAAACCCTAACGTCGAGAGGAAGAAACGATGACTACTCTAAATGATGACTACTCAAACGCCTCGACTTGACGTCGACCATTCATATGAGAATGATAACGGCGAGTGTTCATGAGAATCACGGGTTCCCCAGAACCCAGAAACCGGTGACACACAGACAATAAAAAATATATAAAGACCAGGTCATCCAGTGCGACAGAACACAACAAAGTAAGTCTCCTTAGCTTCTATATTCTCATTTTTGTGCATATATTTACATATTCCAAATACACAACGGGGGAAACCCCGTGAGTACACAAAGCAAGAGAAGATCCAGAAACTTACCGGTGAAGAAGGATTTCCGGGTAAAACTCAAAGTAAGGACGGCTTCGCAATGTGCCACGGAGGGTTAGAAGTGTGAAGTCGGAAGTCCAGCAAAAGAGATTCCGACAGAATGCAGCGGTTCAACGAGAATGCAACAAAAGTTTGAAGTTTTAGAGAAGGAAAAAATGGCTCTCGGGTTCATGAGAGGTATTTAAAGAGAGCAACATCCTCGACCCCAACCGTTGGATGAAAATTTCAAAATCCAACGGCGAGGGATTACTGCCCGGATCTGACGGTGATGGAAAAGGGCGGGAAATCGAGAGGTCGCACGGTCCGCGTTCATCTTCTCAAAGTACGGCTGATAACTCTAAGAAATTAGAGTTATCCACTGGTTTTATAGCCTAAAATTGTTTGTCCATGAGTGATTGTTCTTGTTTATTGTTTGTTTTAAGTTAGATTTGTAGAGTTGCATGTACTTTGGCCTAATTCCGTATTGCTGCACCTCTTGAAGTGAAAGCTGGTAATTTGGAAGTAAAATAGGTGAACTATGTGAGTTCCTTGCAGGAAATTGCTGGGCTAAAATGCTGCAGCATTCTGGGTGACATTCTGGGATTAGCTGGCAGCTGATTGATGTCAGCGCACTAGCTAGACAATGCAGACAGAAAGGAATCCGTGTGAGCTGACTGAGGAGGTGTCAAATGGGTCCACTGTGCACATCAGCAGTGACACCTCAGCCCTTGTGTTGCCCTAGAAGGGAATGTTTCTCTCAGGACAAGTTGGCAGCCGCCAGGGGGAGAAAAAGAGGAAGAGAGAGAATCGGGCATTAATATAAAAAGAAGACAGTTGCTGAAAAACATAGAGCACACATGGGTAGTACGAAGACACCAAAAAATACAAAAAGACACTATTCAGAGAGGAAAAAACTTTGGAAGAGAGAGCTAAGGAAAGCAGAACAACACGTGATTTCCAGCCTAGAAGGAGAATACAAAGCTGAGAGAGCTGGAAGTTGAAGGACATTGTTGGCCGGCCACAGAGGAATCCAAGATCCAGCCGAACTTGTTCTTCTTCTGTTAGCTTAACTGTCTTTTGTTATTTAGCTACTAATTCTAGATATGGATTGGACTGGAGCTTTGGATCTTGTATCTTTCATTATGAACTAAGTTGCTGTAGCTAGGTTTGCTAATGGAACCAATATTGTAAGAATGACAAGTTGTTTCTGAAATGCTATTAATCTACTATTCCTGTTCATTCATGTGAGCTAATATCTATTTCTATTCTTAACTAGCCATCAATTTTAGGATACAAGATTAAGATTAATACTGGAAGGGTTAGTTTTAATCGGATAGCATGAATGATGCTTGTTCAATGAGCTTGCTGAGTTTTTGATTAGTGGATAGTATAGGAATATATTATTCACCTTGCATAACTTAATGAAACCTGAGCTTAAATCTGCAGTCCGAGAGCTGGATCCACATAGGAATATGTTGGAAATAGCTTGAGGGACCATAGTCATAATCAATTCGGAAGAACTTTATGCATCAACGTGTTTCTGTTGACAGGATAGTAGAATGCTGCAACATTCTTGGTAACATTCTAGTCAGACTTGCAGTAGAGGGGAAGTTAGCAAGCCTAGCTCATTTTTACCACTAATTTACATCCCATCATTACATTCTTGTTACATTTAGCCATCAGATTTCATTTCATTTACATTCATTTCAATTACATCATCTTAGTAAATTTGTGCCGAATTTATTTCTTGTTATTTTGTTGAATATACAACTCCCGACACATATTTTGGTGATTCATTCCTCGTGGGATCGATATCCGTACTTGTGTACACTTTATTACTTGTTAGCGACACGTGCACTTGCGAGCATAATTATCACGCAACAAGTTTTTAGCGCCGTTGCCGGGGAATTGAAATCATTAAAATATTTGTAGGAGTTAATTTGTTTTACATTTGTTTACTTTAATCTCATTCATTTGGTTCTTAACTCCTCAGGTTACTAAGTTGATTGCATGAATCCACCGCAAGACTTGGAGTTGCTGCCTATAGATCCTGAAATTGAAAGAACATTCCGAGCTAGGAGAAGGGAGCAACAAGGCTTAGCAGGAGTGAGAGACATGGCAGAAGGGGCAGCAGGAAACAACGGGCAGCAAGCAATTGCCAACAACTGTGTTCCACAACCAGAGCCGATTGATGATAGAAACAGAGCCATTCGAGACTATGCAGTGCCATTTTGCATGGACTTAACCCGGGCATAGTGAGGCCAGCAATTCAGGCGCCTCATTTTGAGCTGAAACCCGTGATGTTCCAAATGCTCCAGACCGTGGGGCAGTTCAGTGGCATGGCAACTGAAGATCCTCACATCCATCTCAGACAATTTATGGAGGTGAGCGATGCTTTTAAGCTACCGGGGGTAACCGAAGATACATTGAGGTTGAAGCTATTCCCTTATTCCTTGAGGGATAGGGCACGAGTGTGGCTAAATTCCTTGCTTCCGGATTCAGTGACATCATGGGATGAGTTGGTAGAAAAGTTTCTCATGAAATACTTCCCTCCAACCAAGAATGCCAAGTTAAGGAATGACATAACCTCGTTCCAACAAGTAGATGGGGAGTCATTATATGAAGCGTGGGATAGATTTAAGGAACTACTGCGGAAGTGCCCTCATCATGGGATCCCCCACTAGATTCAAATGGAGACATTTTATAATGGTCTCAATGGGCAAACACGAACTATAGTGGATGCCGCAGCAGGTGGAGCCATTTTGGCCAAATCTTATAATGATGCATATGAGATTTTAGAGAGGATGGCAAACAACAACTATCAATGGCCAACCGAGAGGCATAATGCAAGGAAGGCCACTGGAATTCACGAGGTTGACGCCATCACTGCACTCTCAGCACAAATGTCATCCTTGACGAATATGGTAAAGGCATTAAACACACTGGCAGGGGTAAATGCAGTGCACCCCCCTGGTTTTTCGTGTGTTTACTGTGGAGATAGCCACTAATATGAAGATTGCCCATCCAACCCTGCCTCTGCATGCTATGTTGCCAATTTCAACAAAGGTGGTCATCACTATTCAAATCCTCATAACCGAGGGATGAGGCAACATCCAAACTTATCATGGAGTAATCAAGGAGCAGGAACTAGTCAGCCCAATACCTACCACAGAAGCACCTACCCACCTGGATATCCACCACAACAACAAAGGACTCAAGCCGTGGAACAATCTAGCTCTTTGGAGAGCTTGTTAAAAGAGTTTATTTCAAGGAGTGAAGCCAAAATCCAGAGCCATGATGCTGCACTGTGGAATTTAGAAAATCAGGTTGGGCAGATTGCAAATTCTCTCAAGAACAGGCCCCAAGGTTCTCTACCAAGCAATACCGAAGATCCACGAAGAGACGGGAAAGAACACTGCAAAGCTATCACACTAAGGTGTGGAAAGGAGTTGGAATCAAGGGCAAAACCTCTGGCTGCTCACACAGAGCCCACTTCAATCCAAGGGGGAGAGAAGAAAACACTACCGCAAAAAGAACAGCCCAGGAGTAAGCAACTGGACTCTGATGTCCAGAATGCTGCAGCATTACCGCAGCACTCAGAAGCAGCCAACACCAGCAACACTAGTGGCAACCGACCACCTCTACCATTCCCACAGCGCTTTCAGAAACAACAACAAGATGGGCAGTTCCGCAAGTTTTTAGATGTTTTGAAACAGCTACACATCAACATACGGCTAGTGGAAGCCTTAGAACAAATGCCAAGCTATGCTAAGTTCATGAAGGATCTCGTGACCAAGAAATGCAGGCTTGGGGAGTTTGAAACAGTGGCTTTGACCGAAGAATGCAGTGCTATTCTACAGAACAAACTCCCGCCCAAGCTAAAGGATCCATGAAGTTTTACTATTCCATGCTCTATTGGAAATCAATACTTTGGAAGAGCATTGTGTGATTTGGGAGCTAGCATAAATTTAATGCCGATGTCCATATTCAAGAAGTTGGGTATTGGAGAAGCAAGGCCGACCACAGTATCTTTGCAGCTGGCTGACAGGTCAATTGCAACTCCTGAAGGAAAGATCGAGGATGTACTAGTAAGGGTGGATAAGTTCATTTTTCCTACTGACTTTATTATTCTTGATTATGAAGCAGATAGAAGAGTGCCCATAATTTTAGGGAGGCCCTTTCTTGCAACTGGTCGCACTTTGATTGATGTTCAGAAAGGAGAATTGACCATGAGGGTCCAAGAAGAACAGGTCACCTTTAATGTGTTCAAGGTAATGAGGTTCCCGAGTGAAACTGAAGAATGCTCAGCCATCTCAGTTATTGACTCTCTGGTGGCATAAACACTTGAGCATGATAAATTCGAGAGTAATGTGGAAGGAGGTGTTGAGCAAGTATAGTGGGTGGGAGCAAATGTGACAATGCTGAGCTACACAAGGAAGTTTGAGTCTCTGGACTTGACTGAACGGAAACACCAGCCCACTCAGCCCTCAAGCAAAGAGCCACCAATCCTCGAACTTAAGCCCTTGCCCCCACACTTGAGGTATGCCTACGTAGCAAATTCTTCTACACTTCCGGTCATTATTTTTGCTTTATTGACGCAGGACCAAGAGGGCAGGCTAATAGAGGTTTTGAGAGAATCCCAAGGAGCCATCGGCTGGACTATAGCAGACATAAAAGGCATAAGTCCCTCCTTTTGTATGCACAAGATTCTCCTAGAAGATGATAAAAAGGGGTCTATAGAGGGACAAAGAAGGATGAACCCGATTATGAAGGAGGTGGTCAAGAAGGAGGTGATAAAGTGGCTAGATGCAGGGATCATTTATCCAATCTCGGATAGTGCATGGGTGAGCCCAGTTCAATGTGTTCCTAAGAAAGGGGGGATCACTGTTGTTGAGAGCGAAAAGAATGAATTGATCCCCACAAGAACAGTAACAGGGTGGCGGATTTGCATGGATTACAGGAGGCTCAACAAGGCCACTAGGAAAGATCATTTCCCGCTTCCCTTTATTGACCAAATGTTGGACAGGCTGGCGGGGAAGGAATTCTATTGCCTATTGGACAGGGATTCCGGTTATAATCAGATTGTGATTGCGCCAGAGGATCAACACAAGACTACTTTCACGTGTCCCTTTGGCATGTTTGCCTTCAGAAGAATGCCATTCGGACTTTGCAATGCCCCAGCCACTTTTCAGAGATGCATGCTGGCTATTTTCACTGATATGGTGGAGTGGTATTTGGAGGTTTTCATGGATGACTTCTCAGTTTTTGGGAAGGATTTTGATGAATGCCTCATGAACTTGGCCAAGGTTCTAAAGAGATGTGAAGAGACAAATTTAGTCTTGAACTGGGAGAAATGCCACTTTATGGTCCGCGAGGGAATAGTACTAGGACATAGAGTCTCAAGGGATGGTTTGGAGGTTGTTAAGGCGAAGATTGCTGTGATAGAAAAGTTGCCAGCGCCGACTAATGTAAAAGGGCTTCGAAGCTTTCTTGGACATGCAGGGTTCTATAGGAGGTTCATTAAGGATTTCTCAAAGGTGTCAAAGCCTCTTTGTAGTCTTTTGGAAAAGGATAGCAAGTTTATTTTTCATGAAGCATGCTCACTAGCATTTGCAGAATTGAAGACGAAACTCATTTCAGCACCTATCATTACAGCACCCGATTGGTCTATTCCTTTTGAAGTAATGTGTGATGCCAGTGACTGGGCATTGGGGGCAGTTCTTGGGCAGCGAAGAGAGAAGGTGTTTCACTCAATTTATTACGCCAGCAAAACTCTATCAGGAGCTCAACTAAATTACACTGTGACTGAAAAGGAGTTGTTGGCGGTTGTCTTCGCATTTGACAAGTTTAGAGCCTATTTGATAGGGACAAAGGTCACGGTTTTTATAGACCACTCAGCCATCAAGTATTTGATGGAAAAGAAGGATGCAAAGCCTCGGTTAATCAGATGGGTACTCTTACTTCAAGAATTTGACTTGGAGATCAAGGACCGTAAAAGGACTGAGAATCAAGTGGCTGATCACTTGTCCCGGCTTGAGAGGGTGGAGGAAGAAGTAACCCCTGAAAGTATAACCAAAATGTTCCCTAATGAGCAATTGTTTGCAGTAACTTAGGCACATACACCTTGGTTCGCTGATTTTGCAAATTATTTAGCTAGTGGATGGCTTCCCCCTGATTTGACTAGCCAACAGAGGAAGAAATTTCTCCATGATGTCAAGAGCTACTACTGGGATGAGCCTTATTTGTACAAGCAATGTCCGGACCAACTTATAAGGAGGTGTGTACCAGAAGAAAAAATGGAGGGCGATCTGCAAGGGTGCCATTCTTCCCCTTACGGTGGCCACTATGGAGGCCTGAGGACAGCTTCGAAGATTCTACAATCTGGTTTTTATTGGCCGTTGATCTTTAAGGATGCTCATGCGTTTGCATTGAGATGTGACAGGTGCCAAAGAATTGGGAACATAGCAAGGAGGAACGAGATGCCCCTAAACAACATCTTAGAAGTGGAATTGTTTAATGTTTGGGGTATGGATTTTATGGGCCCCTTCCCGGTGTCATTTGGTAACCAATACATTCTTGTGGCTAATTACTTCGTGTCAAAATGGGTGGAGGCAGTGGCTTCACCCACGAATGATGCCAAGGT